GCCCCGCTGCGGGGGGGTCGGCTGAGGCTGGCAGGGCCCGCGCCCTCCTGCACCGGTTCCTGGGCCCCCTCCCTCCACGGCTCTGCTTTGAGTCCTTGAACTTGCAGGTTTCAAATAAGGGTTTCGGGTTTGGGGACATCAGAGTCTTTTTATTCCTCTTCCCCAGGGCTTTCTTTAAAAATACTGTGAAGAAGGGCAGCAGGATGTAAACGCCATGAGCAGAACAGCTGGCAGGGCCCGCGCCCTCCTGCACCGGTTCCTGGGCCCCCTCCCTCCACGGCTCTGCTTTGAGTCCTTGAACTTGCAGGTTTCAAATAAGGGTTTCGGGTTTGGGGACATCAGAGTCTTTTTATTCCTCTTCCCCAGGGCTTTCTTTAAAAATACTGTGAAGAAGGGCAGCAGGATGTAAACGCCATGAGCAGAACACCCTCTCCGTTGGAATGAGGCAAGGCCAGAGCACCCCACATGCGGGGTGGTGGGGTGTACCGACCGATGGGTGTGCCTCAGACATTTGGCTTGGAAACGGGCTGTTTCAGCGTCTTCTGTTACTATTCAGTGGTCGTGCTGGTGGTGGCTGCTGTAAAAACTCATTGCAAATTCTGATATTTGGTCAATGCCCATGAGGTTGTGGGCCCAAGCTCCCTAGCTTGCTTTGAGTGATCGGATCCAGTGACACGGGCTGCAGTGGAAACAACACAATTTTACCCTTGAACATGAAAACAGTATGAACCGGAGCGAATAAAGTCAGTAGATGCTTGGATCTCTTTCCATCTGACAGTGAGGGTATTTTTTGTGTTAAGTTGCAGTAAACATCCCTGAGAGATTTATTTCTTGGATTAATTTTTACCTTTACTCTGAAAATAACAACATGTGTGATGAAAATGAAACGTCCAGTAGTCTGAACAGTATTAGGTGTGTGGGGGGGAAATTCTAGAATTTCTTACTGTATTCCACTGGTAGTTAAATCAAGCAGATTTTTCTGAACGTTCCTCATCCACTTCCTGCAGTACTTTTAAAAATAAGTCATTGTTAGGTTTCAGGATGCTGAATCAGGCATAAATGAGCACATTTCTTATCTCACCTGTGTGTCATCAGCTCGGGTATGTGATTTTTGAACTGCTTTATTAGCAATAAGTATCTGTGGATAATCAGTTTTCATAATAAAACCATAAAATGTTACTGATAGAAATGTAAGTTCTCAAAGTAATTTAGGCGTACATGTTTATGGTAAGTAAGTTGATGTATTGTTGGCAGAGGAGAAAGAGATATCTTTAGGGCAATTGTGAAATAGATGTGGAATTAAAGCCCAGGAACTTCCTTATTTGCACTGAACTACTTAAAAACACACAAAACAAAACACTTTGTAGGTGTTCTTGCCTTCGTGCCTATAGAATATAACAGATGTTTTTCAGCTATTTTTTCCATGAAAATAAACTCTAACTTGCCTTCATCCTTCAATAGGTCACTCTGGAGGCTGGTACAAGAGGGCAGGAATTCAAGCCTATTGCTTTTTCCCCTTCTTTTCACAGATCTCCTGGATGATTTTTCCCAGGTGGGATTTTTTATATAGCAAAGGCTGACGCTGCATGACTGCCTGCTGCCCTCCCGAGAGGCTGGGCTGTGCTTCAGCTGGGAGCATGCAGGATTGGCTTGTTCGCAACAGAGCTGGAAGCCGCAGCGAAGCCTGCTATGCGTGTGGTTTTGGTTCCTTGGTCGAGCGCCACATTTCATAGGCTTCGCTTGAACAACTTCCAGCTGATCATTCCTGAAAATTCGTGAGATAGACATTGAAACCCGTCAGTAGCATTCCTGGAAAATTAGTTATCATTGTTCACTGTTCACGCTGTGTGTGATTCATATGCCAGACACGAGTGTGTATTGCACCACCAGAGCCTGAGTACCCGCTTGTCTTGGTCCCCTGAAGCCAGCCAAGCGTGGGCCGTCTTTGGTTTGGCTGTGAGCACAGAGCAGGGACAATTCTGCCTTAAATAGGAATATCGATGGTGTAAGACTTCCCTAGGGGTGTCATCTGGGGCGTCAGTTTTGCTTTTTAGCTATGTGCCTTTTCTTACCATTAGGAATACAAAGAAAAAAGGCGAATAATGCGCTTGCCGATTAATTAGATTCTCTGAAACTCTGTGTGCTAGAAAAGTATGGGGTTAATGACACAGTGAGAACAAATTTAAATAAAGGTTGGAGGAATTGAAACAAGATTGACTTCCCCAGGAATTTTGTAAGAACACTATGCTCTCTTTTTTTCAGTTGAGAAAGGTTTTTAGACGCTTGCAAATGTTTCAATGAATTTTATGGATCACAGCAATCCCAGGTGGGAAAAGAGGAAGACAGGCGTGCTGAACAGATGAGTCTGCCAGAGGCTGACAGTCACACGCGGGGAGTGCGGTACGTTCCTCTCGTGCGTTATTTGTACCTTATTCACAAAAGCAGCAGTTCTCAGTCTGTCCTGAGCACGGAAGCCAGTGCCACATACTGTTTCCCGTGATGCTGGAGGCCCGTCTGCCACCTGTAGTAACACCGTGTGTTTCCAGGGCACTTTTTCTTTCGTATGGTTTCTCTTCATAATGCCACAGCTCAAAACCACTTCTAAATATTCAGGGAAGTTCTGAGTGATAGTTTTAATTGGGGG